GCTGTGGGATTCGCTTGTTACTCTTGGTGGTTGCCGCCACCTAGACGACTTGGAGTAGCGAGGATCGTCGAGCGGAGGGTGGTGATTGTCTCCGGCTCCGATCATGGTAATTGTGAGGGGTTCTTGACCTTTCCCCGGTGGAGTGTCAAAAGGTACTCTAGTGGATTGCTCGTGGCTTATGTGATCCTCATCTTATGTTGATTGTGCGGCACCCTATTGAGGGTTTGGCGTGTGAAGCCAATTAGCGCGTGAACCTCCAAGTGAGTGAATCACCACAACGAGGACTAGCTTGCCGACAAGCAAGTGAATCTCGGTAAAAAATCATTGTGTTCATCATTGATTCCGAGGTGATTGGTCTTCATTGTTATTTATCCTTGTGATTGATTGGTTCCTTTATCTACACGGCGGTATAACTTTCTTGATTACTCTATTTACATTACCACAAACTAGTTGTCAAGCTCTTTAGTGTAGCTAGTTGTGAGAGCTTGCTTGGTTGGTTGGTGTGGCTCTTTAGTTAGCCTCTGAGAGCACACTAACATAGAAAAGTGTCATTGCTATTGTGTAAATAGATACTATCTAAACTAGAATTGTGGTAGGTGGCTTGCATTTTAAGTAGGCTAGCGCAACTCTTGCTTCGTCTCATAATTGTCTAACCATTTTGTTAAGTATTATTGTAGAAATTTTTATTAGGCTATTCACCCCCCTCTAGCCATTAGGACCTTTCAGAGAGGTCGTCGATGAGCAGCAAGAAGTAGCGTCGTCCTCCCGTTGTGGCCGGTGTCACCAGGCCACACAAGTCCCCGTGCGCAAGCTCAAGCCTCTTCTTGGCTTGAAAGCTCGCCCGCTGGGGAAAGGGGAGTCGCCTCTACTTCGTTAACACGCAAACATCGCAGAGCTGCTCCACATGGTCGAGGCACGACATGCCTCGCACCATCTCTATGGCACTGAGCCGCTTCAGGGCCTCGAAGTGAAGGTGCCCGAAGCGCTCGTGCCACTGCCACGCCTCGTCATCCCGACGAGCAGCGAGACATAGGGGTTGTGCCACCTGCACGTTAAGGACGTGGAGTCGATTTGCACTTCTGGATACCTTAGCAAGAAGGCAGCGACGGCGATCCCAAATCCTCATGACTCCATCCTCAACCACCACGCGCGAACCATTCTCATCCAGCTGTCCCAAGCTGATGATGGAGTTCCTCAATGCGGGGATGTAGTAGACTCTGGTGAGCAGCATGTGCTCACCAGACACGACGGTGAAGATGACGGAGCCAATGCCCTTGATCTCCATGCTGGAGGCATCCCCAAACTTGACGGAGCATCGGACGTTAGAGTCAAGCTTGGTGAAGAACTCCCGTCGCCCGGTCATGTGAGGGGTGGCGCCAGTGTCGAGGCACCACCCGTCAGTCTTGTCGTTGCCGGAGCCGTCGCCGAGGAGGGCGTGTGCTTTTGGCTCATCAAGGTGGAGGAGAGCCGCTGCAGCCGGTGTCGCTGGAGGTAGCTCGATGCTTGCATGTGCCATGAATAGAGCCAGCTCCTCCTCCTCCGCCTGTGCGACGTGGGCCTGGCTGCATCATGGCTGTCGACAGTCCTTGGCCCAATGGCCAAGCTGGCCGCAGTTGCGGCAGGTGTCGTCTCGTGCTGGCTTGTGCTTGCCGGTGGCGCCGCCCTAGGCGCCTCTGCAGGCATCACCCTCGGCACGTCCTCGCGCCCCGGCCTGGGCGTCTCTGCGCGTCTTGCGCGGCTTGCCACGCTTGTGGTCGCCTGTCGTGGAAGAAGGGGGAGAGAAGGCTCCCCCCTTCTTCCGGTCACCTTGGTAGGCAGCCCACTGCTCCCGAGTGAGAAGGAGCTTCCCGCCAGTGGTGATGGGCCCCGAGAGAGACTGTGGCTCATCGCTGTCGACGACCTTGAGGCGACCTATCGCCTCCTCGATCGACATTGTGGAGAGATCCAGCAGGGACTCGATCGAGCGAGCCATCTGCTTGTACTTCTCGGGGACGCAGCGGAAGAGCTTTTCGACAGCTCTCTCCTCGCCGTAGGTGTCATCGCCGAACTACACCATCTTCTGCAACAGAGTGTTGAGACGGAGGGCAAAGTCATTAACGTCCTCACCTGGCTTGAAGGCCAAGTTCTCCCACTCCTTGCGAAGTGCCTGCAGTGTGGACTTACGGACGCGGTCGTTGCCGATGCGTGCCGCAGCGATGGCGTCCTAAGCCTCCTTGGCAGTCCGCTTGTTGGTAAGCGAGAACTGCATCTCGAACGGGACTGCAGCGATGAGGGCATCCAGCGCCCGTCGATCCTGGTCGTAGTCGACGTCGCCGTATCGGACTGCCTCCCACATGTGCCGCACCTGGAGCTTTACCCTCATCACCGCAGCCCACTCGACGTAGTTGGTCTTAGTGAGGGTAGGCCACCCACCGTCGGAGCCGACGTCCCTGACAACAGTCTAGAGCCCGTGGTAACCACGGTACCGATCTAGAGAGAAAGAGCCATGCTGCCTGTGAAGGCCGCGCTCTCCATCGACCCATCCGTCACCGTTGCCATGCGCGCCTCCTCTAGGAGCGCCACCGCCGTGCGCGCCTCCTCCAAGAGCGTCGCCGGCGCGTCCACGCCTGTCTGGGCTGCTGCCGCGCTCATGGGCGTGCACGGCTGCCCACTGCGCCGCCCGCGCTCGCGCTGCCTCCCTTCCCAGTAGCTCGAGGTCCGCGTCAGCGCTATCGTCAGTAGAAATGGAGCTGCTGATGCTGCCGTGCAGAACCTCGACCTCCGCTGCCGCCGCACGCGCTGCATCCGCCGCTGCTTCCGCCGCCACTCTGGCTGCTGGCAGCTTCGCCGCTGCCAGCCTCGACGCCCTTGTCGCCGCCGCAGATGTCTCTGCCGCCGCTCGTTCGCGTTCCTCTGCCACGGCAAATTCGGCCTCCTGCCGACGCCGCGTGCTCGAGGCGACCGAGCACTGAGACTGCTCTGCGGACATGACGCGCTACCGGGGGGCTGCTGCGTGGGGAGAGGGTTGCTTCAGACAAGCTGCGCAGAGTGAGAGGAGTGAGTAGGAGCGACCGGAGCTGCTGCTGCTCCTAGCTGGGGCTGTTGCGCGGCTAGGAAATGAGATGAGCAGGAGATGCTCAGGCTACAGGATAGTACGGCTCCGATACCAATTGTTAGTCGCTGAATTCTTTCTCTTGGTAGTAGCATAATTCTTACTCTCATCGAGAGAGGATGACACTAGGAGTTGGGGCAATTTTCTGGTTTATTTCTCACAAAAATGCCATGCCAACCTAAAGGATTGGAGATTCATATTTATGAGCTGCTAGCCAGCCAAGTATATGCCAAGATGCTAGTCCTAAATGCTAAGATGCTGTCCTAGATGCTAAGATACTGTCCTAGCCAGTTAAGATGTTGTCCTTGATGGGCAGCAAGACCACCGTGCTGCCACAAGAACCATATGCTGCAGCCCCACAAAGACCAGCCAATACATAAACTTATCCATCAAAATAAACACACATTACGTCATGGATCTTTTCTTATTATTATTTTAAGGCACAAGAGCAGAACGTTATAGATATCTCACAGCTTGTGTTCTTTCTGTGAGGTCAAATTTCTATTAGACTAATCAATCAGAGAGCAGCGGTCACCTGATTGCAGATGAGTTCATGGCAGTGATACACCAGCAACAGAACAGTCTTCAATCTCCCGCAAACATTAATTTGACTGCATTAGTTATTAGAACTTAGAAGTAGAAGTAGAAGTAGAAGTGAACTGAACCTATATAACTTTTAGCTAGTAAGGTTCATCGTAGTGGAACCTACTCATCTGGACTTTAAGTCCTTGACTTGACTCACGTGTTACTAGATTTATTCTAAGATTTGACGGCAGTGACGATAGCAAGAGTCTGTGATGACGATGCTAATGGTACTCATATAGATAAGATGCGTGTTCGTAGGAATGAACGTGCGTATATGCATGAGCGTTTGCACTGGTTTTGTCGTTGTGTTGTGTTTTATGGTAGTGATATGATCAATTTTCATGATGTTCAAGCCATTTAAAATTAATGTTCAGTGCCGCAATTAGTAGCTGAACCTTGAAAAAAACTGACCGATTAGTAGCAGGATCATAGCAAAGTAGCCCTAAAATCGCCGCACTGAAAAATACTGACCGATTAGTAGTAGGGTCATAGCAAAATACTAAAAACGCCATGATGAGTCGTGAGGAAAAAGAGAGTTGGAAGAAGGGGCGGGGCGAGCTCAACGCTCCACCACGAGCGAGCAAGGCTCGAATGAGCTACAGGCTGGCGGTTGACTGCGCCCGCCTCCCACGCCGCCGCCGTAACCGCCCGCCCCCGCGACCCTTCTTCCCGCGTCCGCTCACCGCCGCAGTTGCATGCTCGCTTCCCTCCGATCCGCTCACCCTACAGGCCGGCCCTGGTGGGGGCGCGGCTCTCCTCGCAGGAACGGTGCCGCGGCAGCGGCGGCGGCGGCCTCAGGCCTGAGGCCCCAACTGCCCCTGGCGGCGCCGCAGCCAGGCATGCGTGCACGACGGCCCCCGGCAACGACACTGCTAGGCCCGCGCGCACGGTGGACACTGGCGGCGGCGCGACTCCAATCCACATGTACGGTCTCTTGAGGTGCCCCCAAACCGTACCTGACGCCATCGTCTGCGGCAGATCGATTTGCTGGAGAACCCGGCAATTGAGGATGTCGTCCTGCTCTCGGTGTTCTGATTAGTTTCTCTTTACAGTCAATTGGATATTAGCCAGGTTTCCAAGTTAGAAAAAGAAGCTTTCTGTTCCATCATGGCCTTCCCGTCTCCAGCACCTTTTTTTTCTTTTTTTGTTGATGGAACCAGCAGATAAATAGAGGTGGGATGGCATTTTTATCAAAAACTAATTTGTGAAAACGAATTTTCCTGAAATAGATACATCTTTTTTATCTGCATGTTATGTTACCAAGAAGATCTGCTAGACAAACGTATGATCATGATCGCTCTGGCTAATTATGCATGTTATTTAGGTATCCAGAAGAAAGTGGCGGCAGTAAACTCAGCTTTGCGTGGTTGGTTAGATACGTTTGATTCTCTAATGTTTCCAGCTACGGTATGTGGCCCAATATCACACAATACTTTTCACAATTTGTGCAGGTTGTTCATAAGGTTGAAGTATGTTACCAGGGATTTATTTTACAAAATCATGACCCCATTTCTGTATGACTGTCACAGTTCCATGCAAGCTCATAATTAAGCAAACAGAACTTGTTATTATTAAGAATGAGATATTAGAATGGGGAAGTATATGTTACTTGATTTTGTAGTTCTTGTTAGCTGATACAGTTGTCCTTTGTTTTGTTCTGCTGGGATGAGATCATGCGCAGAAGCAAGGGAGCCTGAGGTTGATGTGGATGTGGAAGATGGATATGTCAGGAAAGTTGGGGACCTTGGAGATGGATGCCTCGGCGTGTCACATTCAGTGCTTAGGTCTGGTAAGCGTTGGTTTGATGACAACGACGATGCAATGTATCCTCTTTGGTTTAATTTTGTTCAAAAAGATAGATTGTTTGCCTGACTGTAGTATATGGTACAACATTTCAATGAAACGGCTTATTGGCAAGTTCACAATGGTGACCACGAACTACCAGCGCACCTCATGGTTGAAGATCTTAAATTGTTTGAGTGATGAGGAACTTCATGTAAATGGCGGCTTTTTGTCAGGGATTATCCAAGTCAGAGCTGCGGGAGCAGTTCAAGTCCTTCAATGCTGCATTTGAGCATGCGCATTGGGTGCAATTTGGGTGGTGTGTGCCAGACAGCCAGCTGAGGGAAGAGCTCAGGACCTCAATTTGTTGAGAAGCTGCTGCCAGCATACCGGTCAACTAGCTGATGTTGCTATTTATTCTTTTATTCTTCACAAGGAAGCTGGTGCTGGCATTTGTGCTTGAATTATGCTGTGCTGATAGACGTGAGTATAAATTTGGTGATCTTCAATCAGAGATGGCAAATATGAATACATTTTGGGAGCTTCCTGAAGCTGTTAATCGGCACAGTGGCTCCTACTCTGTAAGAGAAGTTCATTTGGTTACTACTATTATATAATTTGCAAGTAGCATGCCCATATAGGAAATTCTTTCAGGAACGCTGGATAGCTGGAACTCATGGTAAATAGACTATGCTTTGTGGATTAGATGTAAAAAGATTTATATGTCTCTCATGTACCACATGAATTTGTAATATGATAATAACATGCTCTTACAAATTCAAAAGTAAACTTCAGGTCTTCTCCATGGCACAGTTCTTTTCAGCTGTCGAAACTAATATAAAGATGTACTGCTAAGTGGAATTGTTGATTTCTCTAAGATTTACACTATGTTACTATTTTAGTATATGATCAGTAAGTCAGAAAATGGATGCTATTTGGCAGGGATGTTTTAAATTTTTTATTGTGTTCCAAGTAGCATGCCCATATAGGAAACTCTTTCAGGAACGCTGGATAGTTGGAACTCATGGTAAACAGTCTATGCTTTGTGGATTAGATGTAAAACATGATTTTGTACAAATTCAAAATAAAAATTCAGGTCTTCTCCATGGCACAGTTCTTTTGAGCTGTCTAAACTAATATAAAGATGTACTGCTAAGTGGGATTGTTGATTTCTCCAAGATTTACACTATGTTACTATTTTAGTATATGATCAGTAAGTTAGAAAATGGATGCTATTTGGTACGGATGTTTCAAATTTTTGATTGTGTGATTATTTTCCATGTACGGACCACTTTTGGGATGCTGGCCCTGAGACCTGGGATGATTTTGTCACTTCCTGGCTTGCTGTTACCCTCTATACCTCGAAATTGCATTTACGCTTTTCTTGACTAATAATTAGATTTGGTTTGAAGAGTCATTGAAGAATCTTGGGTTTTCGGATGCTTGTCTAACCACTCTTTCTTCTGAAGGTATGCAAGGCAAATATTTTGGCTATCGCAGCCGGTTAATCGCCTTGTGCTTGTCGTAATAACATTTCTCGCTCGCTACTAACCTTTGGCTTACAAGATTTCTCTTTGTCATGTAGATCCTGTCATCCAGTGTCCCTGAGATTCTTAGGCCTCTCTCGTAGGAGGAATGTACCAAGAAGTGCAAGTAGCCTTTATGGTACATGGATCGAGGTGGGCTGACCCCAGGACCCAGGCCCAGACAAAATGAGCCCATGGATCGAGGTGGGCTGACCCCAGGACCCAGGCCCAGACCCCACAGGGCTGCAGCCATTCATTACTTGCCGGACTTGCCGGAGCTGCTGGGTAACGGCCACTCGTGGAGGGTGTGCGAGCCCCGCCACCGCAACGGCACACGGTCGCGCCACATGCGGCAGCTCCGCCATGAGCACCAGTTCCACTTCCACTCCTCCGATAGTCCCATCATCATCGCCGCGTAGAGGCAGGTAGGCAGCGGATCTACAGCACTTTGCGGGCTGTATTTCTCAGGGCAGCAGAAGATGCAAAGCCCATATATACTGACGAAAGGCCCATCAACGGAACTAGGCTGGGCTACTCGTTCAGTGGGCTGCATGACTGCCTTTGCCAATGCCAGATGCCACACGTTTTCGCTACTGTGTGTGAATTGTGAATTGTGAATTTGTGATATGCTAATTCCTTTGGGGAAATAATGTTACAGTATGACATGAACCGGAGTTCATGTAAAAAAAGTGAATGGTTATGGGTGCTTAAATTCTGAATTGTTTGAGAAAGTGGTTGAGATAGTATGTTCAGTAACAAGCCGATTCCCAACTTAAACTAGAACTGGCCGTGGTTTATTGGACCAAGCCCAGTTTTTGTTGTGTGTTTGGTGGCCAGCGATTTGGCTGTGTCCTCTCTGTCTAAAATTTGATGGAATCTATTCAGAAAAGTATGTAACAACGTTTTTTGGACGGTTGAAAACTAGAATTTGACTTCTGACCCTCGTATCATGGAAGTGTTCTGTACTTTTGTGGCTCCACATGCATTAGAAACGGGAATTAGGTACTCTCTCTCTCTCTCTCCGTCCTTAAATAATCAATTTTTGTTGTTGTCTTAAGTTAAACATTTAAAAGTTTAATTGAATTTGCAGAGAAGAGCACAAAGACTTATGATACTAAATTAACATCATCAAATGCACCATACACTATACTGAACACAGACGTGATTGGTTAAGGCCGAAGTTTGTGATCGCAGCCATTATACTAGGAGTACATGATGAAGCTGTATATTTAGCTAAACCATAAACAGGAAGTCATTTCCTATCCTACTTAGGAATATATTTAACATTTTTATATATGTCTTTACGACGATGGAAAGTTTCCACTTTTTTCATGGATCTACTACATGACGCTTTTTTTATGGATATCCATTTAAATATTTGAGAGATTACCTGGTAGATTTATTGGTCAACCATCTTAAGATCTTGGTGAAACGATATGATCATTGCATGTGCTCATACTACATTTATATTTATACTTAGGCTACTCCCAATGGGTAGTTAATTTAATGCCATGTAGTTTATTTTTGTCGATGTGGTAAAAATAAAATCTACTACTAGTAGGTTGTAGAAAAAATACTAGGAACTTGTCATCGTTAAAATCTACAGCATACAAAATAAGATGCTAGCTACACAGTGCATACGAACAGTTGAGAGCACTGTAGTACAAACTACAACCAGACTTGGTCATCAGAACCTAAAACAGTTTCCCGGCGAAGTCGTTGATGTCTTCGTCCTTGAACGACGGCGACGCCATGTCCCTGAACTGCCTAAGGTCGGCCGTGCTCCGGCCGAGCAGCAGCGCCACCTTGGTCTGGAACACCTCGCCGTTCTCCCTGTGCTCGACGTCAGCCTCGGCGAGGCACGCCTCGATGTCCTCCTGGACCTTGCGGTAGAACCCGGCGACGTTGCGGAACATGTCGAACATCAGCATGCCCACCTGCCAGCCGTGATCCACCGTGTTGGCCGCCGCCGCCAGCGCGCCGCACAGGGCGGCGGCGCCGGAGGCCCAGGAGCAGGAGGAGGAGCCGATGAAGGCCGTGGCCAGCGCGGTCGTGCCCGCGAGCGCTGGCCCGGCGACGGCGAGGCCGCGGTTGAGCCGCAGCGCCAGCTCGGCGTTCGACACCTGCTCCTGCTCGTCTTTGGCCCTGAGCACCCGCGCCACGCCGCGCATCTCGTCCTCCAGCTCCCTCGTCCAGCCGTTGCCGGCCGTGGCGCATCTCCGGGCGCCGACGTTGATGGTCTTGGCCGACTGAGCCGGCGGCTTCCGCCTGGGCCACCACCGGGTGGGCTCCACGGTGCTGGGGAACTTGTCCAGCATGCCAGGGAACAGCGGCAGCGGGTACGCCGCGTCGAGGGCGAGCACCCTGTCCATGGCCTCCTGGACGTCGTCGGCCTCGGCGGTCGCCGTCCCGTGGTAGTCGAGCGCGGCGCGGACGTCACGCCCGAGCTGCCTCCAGAGGCGCGTGGCGTTGCGCTGCTCCTCGGCCAGCTGCGACTGCTGGATCCTGTTGACGGCGGCCATGATGCCGGGAGCAGGGCGGCAGCGACGCCTTGCGACTGGAGAAGTGACTCCGTGACGACCATTTGTGCACGTGTACGTGTAGTGTCGAGTGTGCACACTGTTGAATTCACGATTATTAGCCCGCACGCAGGCACTTGTAGTTTCTTGCTTCGATCTGATCTTACATACAGTCTGAATACTGACAATTGAGCTGCTGTCAGTTCCTGGTTCTTGTAGGTTGAGACTTGAGATGAGCGAGAGGTGTAGGCATAAATAGGCGTCGAGGAGGGAGTCTCCGCCATGTTGACGAGGGCTGGCCTCTGCACTCTGCAGCAGAACAGAACGGGTGGTACGGCACTACTGCAGTCTGCCGTTTCGGACGAATCCAAGTCGAGGTCGACGATGAAGCACTCAAGACTCAAGACGCACCACTGAATCAGCTGATGTTGACGAGACCTCGCCACTGGCGACACTGACCTGATGAGCCTCTCATAGCTACGGTATTCGTGCCGGTCAAATTCTCTTAAATTTCACTATGTTTCTAGAAAATATTAGTGACAATTGTATCTCTAACTAAGTTTTTTTTTATAAAAATAGATTCAATGATATATCTAATAATATTAATTATGTGTCATAAATAGTAATATTTGCTTACATATATTGGTTAAAGTTGAGCACGTTTGACTTCTCGGAAAATAAGAACTACATTTAAAAAGAGAAAGTTTGACTAGGTTTATAGAAAATATTAGTAACATTTGTATCTCTAAATAAGTTTTTTTTATAAAAAAATAGATTCAACGATATATCTAACAATACTAATTATGTGCCGTAAATATTAATATTTGCTTATATATATTGGTTAAAGTTGAGCATGTTTGATTTCTCGAAAAGTAAAAACGACAGTTAAAAAGAGACTGAGAAAGTAACTCATAAAAATTAAGCTTATTTGCAAATGTCTTGTATCCCTAGCCTTGAGCCTTCGAGCCACGACAAAACATGTTTTCTTTTTTCAGGTAAGAATGACCGGCTCCTTAAACTACTAGTCCAGTAGTGCCGATTGATGTATTTGTTGGAAATTTGAGCGACATGATATAAACTCAGCGTATAAAATAACATGAAGTATGATACCTAACTTGATACCAAATATATATACAAGTCTATTTAGATTTGCCCTAGCATTTTTAAACCCTTCTGTTTATTTCAAGGCGTACACACAACTCAAGATCGAAACTTGTCAATTCTTATAAATGTAGATTATATGGCACCCAATTGGCATAATTGGGTTCATATTCGAAAACATTGTCATATACATGGTGCTAATATAAATCCATAGTCATGCACTATAATAATCCTATATAAGATATTAATAATGATCAAAGTGTGTCCTTGGAAACATCACACATAGCGCCGGGTTAGACCAGGGTGGCTTTTACCACCAATACATCTAAAATTTTAAATTGATAAATAATAATATATTTTGAAAGAAATTTTCAGTGATAACACCATATTATTGGACAGTATCCAATTCTAATTTATAAGAAAAAAATTCCAAAAGGATCTCCTTCCGAAACTTTCCAATTACGAGTAGTTCTCGAACGATCACTAGAAAAGATTCTGGCTGATCCTCGTGATTAGGCATCATTGAATTAACTAGTTTTTGAAATAGTTTTTTTTAGCTTAGCCCAATTCATGCATGATTCCGGATAATCCTCTTAGTTGGAAAACGATAACACCATATTATTGGACAGTGTTTATATCCTACTCCATAGGCTAGTGGCAGTATGATATGATCAAGTTGCGCCACACCACTGGCAACCAATTAATTGTAAGGAATCCCGAGAGGAATATTCAGATTAGTTAGCTGGACCAGTTCGCCGTGCAAATGTGCATGTATTGTTAGTCAAATTCTTGGACCGGATCAATGCAAGTTCATGAATATGAATTCATGCATGCATGTACCTTTTCTAGCTCATGTATGCCAATTGCCAAGTTGATGGTACTCTGTGATCAGTCAGTCTCGACCAACACCCACCAGCCACCGCGCGCTCCTAGCTCGCTCACTGCCTTCGTTGGGAGGTCGCTGATGATCGAAGACATGATCAACACCTAGCTCCCTTGGTCACACGGAACGCACGGGCACGGACCTGATGAAGTAGGCCTCAATGCAAGTTCGTGGCACCAAATTTTGTGACGCACAGAGTGTCCCTGAACCACAGGGAACATTTTGGAACACAAGCTAGCTAGCTGCGGTCTGCGGAGTACGGACCATTGTACATGCATGCCTAGGCCTTTATTAGATACCCTCAAAATTTTAAGTTTTTTCATTCTCTCTCTATCACATCAATTTTTAGCTGTTTGCATGGAGCATTAAATGTAGGTAAAAAAAATAACTAATTGCATAGTTTAGTTGAAAATCACGAGATGAATCTTTTGAGCTTAGTTAGTCCACGATTGGACAATATTTACTAAATAAGACGAAAGTACTACTATTGATCGGGTTAAAATTTTTTGCAATCTAAACATAGCCCTAATGACTAATGAGGTCGTCCTCTCTAGCTAGCTAGTTTCCGCGTTCACGAATGTACTTTTATTTTGTTGTTTTGGAACGTTACATATGCAGAGGTGGAGTTTATTTTAATTTGTTGTTCTGGAATAATGTTCCATTTATTTTGAGAACATGTCCGGGGACACGTGTGGGAATGTTATATATATATATATATATATATATATATAGAGAGAGAGAGAGAGAGCTACTACCCCGTATATAGAGGTGGCTACAGAATAACTTATTTTTGTAGTTGGCTACTGAATATACTCTCCCTATATATTTAGTGGTCAGCTACAAAATAAGTTATTCTGTAGTCACCTCCATTTACGATAATTTTATATGCTAATTTACGATAATGTCAATACATATTTACGATAGTTGGGTTACTATAACACATGGGAATATTTATCATAACGTTATAGTAAACCACTTAGTAAGAAGTTACTATAATCTTGTAAATTAACATAGTAATTATCGTAACTCAAAGTGGCTACAGAAAAAGTTATTTTGTAGCCAACTACAGGATAGTAGTTCTATATATATAGGGAGAGTATATTCAGTAGTCAGCTACAAAATAAGTTATTCTGTAGCCACCTCCATTTACGATAATTTTATATACTAATTTACGATAATATCGATACATATTTACGATAGTTGGGTTATTATAACACATAAGGATATTTACCATAACGTTATAATAAACCACTTAGTAGGGAGTTACAAAATGCAATATATATATATATATATATATATATATATATATATATATATATATATATATATATATATATATATATATATATATATAGACGTCCTGTTCTGTAGCTGGCCGCAAAATAAGTTATTCTGTGGCCACTTTGAGTTACGATCATTACTATACTAATTTACGAGATTATGGTAACTCCCTTGTAAGTGATTTACTATAGCATTATGGTAAGTATCATCTTGAATTATAGTAATCCATGTATCGTAAATGTGTATTGTCATTATCGTAAATTGGTACAAACGTTATCGTAAACCAAGGTGATATATACATATAGGGTAAGGCTATTCTACAGCTGTCCACAGAATAACTTATTCTATAGCCACATTGGTTTACGATAACGTTTGTACCAATTTACGATAACATGAATATGCATTTTGTATACTCCCGGGAGTAGTTACTCCTATAATCAATAAATCACGTTGCGTATGTGTACATGCTCATATATCAGTTTGAGTATGTTGACATACTAATATTAAGATACTCCATATCTTTACTATGTGATTTTTTTTAAAAGAGTATATATTTTTTAATATATTATATAATACTATGATAGTAGCATATAAAATAAGTATAACCATATACTCTAAGTATACATACATACTTGTCATATATATTTCCCTAGATGGTCTAGTATGATGATATACTCCATCTACATACACTTCGTCGGGCCATATACGTCATAAATCTAGAGATATACACATGAGAGTAACCAGTCCCTGGGAGTAGAAAATAATTTCATATATATATATATATATATGAAGTGGTGGAGGGAGGGGAGGCAAGACTCAAGAGTGAGGGCCCAACAGGCAAACACCCCATGCATAATTAAGATTGCAATTTTTCTTTAGTACACCTCTAATTATTACACTAATTAAGACCTTTAAGTGAATTGGCCTTCTTTTTTCTTTAGTGTAATAGATATGTATATATTTGAGTAATGGAATGCAGCAAAAGTAAAAATGTTGTTATCTTCACTAAATTGGAGGTAATTTGTTCATATAATTCTATGTGTTTTTTGTTGTTGTTGACAATGCCTTCCTATGTGAAATTTCTAGCTTTATATGCCCCTCTTGTGCACGTAGGGTATGTTTGGTTGCCCTACTGCCCCAGCCTGCATGAGGGGAATCATATAAAGATGTCTGAGCAGTACGTGTGATTGCTTGTACGTGCTTTCTTGCATTCGCTCATATAACTTTACCAAATACCTTCTTTTCTGAAATACGGTTTCACCTAGCCCATGTCCACTCATCATATAGGATATACGATGCAACTTCAATCTGGTAACCAAACACACCCGTAGTCGTTGCAGTGTAAGACTAAATGGTGTGGAGTATATTTGAGGTACGACCTAATAACACTTAGCAAAAGAGGTCCGGCCTAAGCACACCCACGATTACTTAATTGCTCGTAGTCTCACTGGACACTACATATCACCTTTTCCTTTTCTATTGAGGACTGAACTATAGGCAACAGTAAAAATGAAAAATTGAAGACTTCGCCTTGAAGGCTCCTCCAGAAGATAAGCACGAAGGACACCTCTAGAAGGCTCTTCCTGTTCTATAAGAGGAGAAGCCAACGCATGCATTCGACAGACAAGAGAGAAGAAGAGGAAGCACCACTGAAGACCACCAGCACCAACACATCCACTCCACCTTCGCATAATCATGAAGACCATAATTTCAGAAGTCCTCTGAGAATCATCCACCA